CAATTCTATTTAGTTCAACCAATATTTTTGTGGTTCCTACTATGTGCTACTTTGAAGAATCATCAGTGAAATAGTAGAAGGCCAGTCCTGAAGTCAGGAAAAAAAGAAGGTTGAGTTCTGCTTCTGGCACCTACTAACTGATGATATAAACTTTCAGTGCCTTAGGCAAATTTGAGATTATAAAATGAAGGTGAATTGCCAACCTGCTTCTGCATTGAGAGTCTCAAGGTCATTCTAGCAGTATACCACCCATGAAGCATTTGAAGAGGACCCTGGCAGCGAAGTCCTTTCCTTCATTTGATGCACTTCTATCTATTGATTACCTGGCCATCAGTATTGCCCCCTTTTGATTAGACTAGAATATAAGTTCCTCACATGCAGGTACTAGGTCTTCTACTGATTTTCTATCCAACCTTTCCTACCTCTGTCTATACTGGATGGCACAAAGTGCCCAGAACACAATAGACTCTCAAATTCATGTTGATGAGAAGCAGACTGGTGATGGTGGAGTGAACATTGGGCTGGGAATCAGAAGACATTCACTCATTAATCCTTCAATATCAGCTTAGAAGGAGAACTACACTTGGGGCTGCATTGTTCAATATTTTTATCAATGACTTGTATAAAGATACAGTTATGTTTATCAAAAATATTTTAAGATGTTGATTAATAAGAAGGAATTGAATAGAGATCAATGTAAAGTCTTACACTCAGTAAAAAAAAATCAGAAGATAGGAAGGTGTGGCTAAGACAGCAATTCGTCTGATGATCTGGGGGTCTGAGTGGACTTCAAACTTAATGAGAGTCAACAGCATGATACAGTGATCAAAAAAGCTCATCAGAAACTGAATTTGAAGAGAGGTACAACTTCCAAGAATACAGAGGTGCCAGTCCTTTGGCACTCAGATGTTTTTTGGAGGATCGTGTTTAGTCCCTGGCTTCACATTTTAGGAAGAACGTTGATACGCTGGAGAATTTCCAGAAAAGAATAATCAAAATTCTCCAACTCATGTTATGTTCCAGAATTGAAGACTTAGAGGGACACAATATCTGTCATCATGTATATGAAAAGTGGTCCAGTGAATGAAGAAGTAGACTTATTCTGCTTGGCCCCATAGGGCAGAAATTGCAAAGAAGTAAAAGGAGGCTTGATGTCAGCAGGAGCATCCTAACAGAGCCGTCCTAAAGCGGACAGGGCTACCTTGGAAGATGTGCATCCCTTTCCACTAGAGGACCACTTTTCAGTAAGGTTGTAGGCCAGGTAGACTCGTGTGTATAGATAGGTTGGACTCAGAGATCCCTGACAACACTGAGATTCCCTGAACCCTAGGCTTTTGCTGCTAACTCACCACTTGACCTTGAGCAAATCACTTGATAATAATTGACATTTAAGTAGTACATTAAAGTTTGCAAAACATTTTATATATTATCTTTTTGAGATTATCTCTGTGAGACCACAGAGGCTGTTGGCATTATTATCTCATTTTACAAATGAGGAGATTCAATTCTTTGCTCAGGGTCATACAGCTAGTGGGTTTTTTATGTTTTAAAATAAAATAACAGATTCCTCAGAGTATTCCTTCCACTTCAGAATGCCCCCTTCCTCACCCAAAAGTACATTCATCTTCATTTGATCAAACTTCATTCTATTAAATCTCTCCAGATTCAGCATTCTTTCTCCCTGACCCAACACCTCAGAATGGTACTACAGAACCAAAACTTTTGTTCCTGAGCACAGATATTAGAAGTACATCACTAGGAAATACAAGTGCAGAATTGGTATGGACCATACAGCTAGTGTTAAAGGTGGTATTGGAACCCACATCTTCCTGACCCCAGGGCCAATCCTCTATTCAGTATGCCACAAAGTTTTCCCCCAACCTCTTGGGTCTCATTTTCTTCACCTGTAAAATTATGGAATTGGACAGGTGAATCCAATGGTCCCTTCCAACGCTATTTGTGGTCCTCCAACTGATTGATTATAAATGCCCTGAAGATGAAGTTATTGTCTATTTCTAACCCTATGCTCTGTATCCTGCAGGGTCAATTTAATACTTAGCATGGACTAAGAAGAGGAAAAGGAATGGCTTCATTCACATATTTCAAGAACATAAGAACATGGGAATGAGGAAACACCTCAGGATTAGCCTTAGGGAAAGAGAAGAGGGTCCATGCCCTGAAAAAAGTGAACCTGGGCATCAGCCTGAGCCCAGGTATGGGTCTAGTTACTAACATCAAGACTCAGCAGCCTCACAATCAGCTCCCCTATCAAAATGTCTTTAAATTCCCAGGTGCCTGTGTTGAGACAAGAAGAGCTCTCCCAAAAGGTTTTGCTTTCTTTTGGACTGAAACTTTTCTTTCTTTTTTATAAATGCATTTATTTTTAGTTTTCAATATTCACTTTTATAAGATTTTGAGTTCTAAATTTTCCCCCTCTTTAAGATGACAAGCAATCTGATATATACGTATACAATCATATTAAACATATTTCCACATTAGTCATGTCATGAAAGAAGAATTAGAACAAATCATGAGAAAGGAAAAAGAAGAGAGAAAATTGTATGTTTTGATCTGCATTCAGCCTCTATAGTTCTTTCTCTGGGTGTAGACAGCATCTTCCATCATGAGTCTTTTGAAATTGTCTGATCATTGCATTGCCGAGAAGAGTTAAGTCTATCAAAGTTGGTCATTGAACAACGTTGCTCTCACTATATACAATGTTCTCCTGGTTCTGCTCACTTCACTCAGAATCAGTTCATGTAAGTCTTTTCAGGTTTTTTTTCCTGCTCATCATTTCTTGTAGAACAATAGTATTCTATTACATTCACATACCCCAACTTGCTCAGTCATTCCCCAGTTGAGGGACATCCCCTCAATTTCCAATTCTTTGCTGCCAGCAAAAGAGCTGCTATAAATACTTTTGTACATTTGGGTCCTTTTCAGGGCTGAAGCTTATCCCCATCCACAGACCAGTCCTTTCCTTTCTGGGCACTGTCCCTTTCTTTTGACTGCCTCCCTACTTGTCAGCCAGACAGTCAGTCTATAGTGTCTTTCTTTCTTTCTTTCTTTCTTTCTTTCTTTCTTTCTTTCTTTCTTTCTTTCTTTCTTTCTTTCTTTCTTTCTTTCTTTTTTCTTCCTTCCTTCCTTCTTTCCTTCCTTCCTCTTTCTTTCTTTCTTTCTTTCTTTCTTTCTTTCTTTCTTTCTTTCTTTCTTTCTTTCTTTCTTCTTCCTTCCTTCCTTCCTTCCTTCCTTCCTTCCTTTCTTTCTTTCTTTCTTTCTTTCTTTCTTTCTTTCTTTCTTTCTTTCTTTCTTTCTTTCTTTCTTTCTTTCTTTCTTTCTTTCTTTCTTTCTTTTTCTTTCTTTCTCTTTCTTCCTTCCTTCCTTCTTTTTTCTTTTTTCTTTCTTTCTTCTTTCTTTCTTTTTTCTTCCTTCCTTCCTTCTTTCCTTCCTTCCTCTTTCTTTCTTTCTTTCTTTCTTTCTTTCTTTCTTTCTTTCTTTATCTTCTTTTTGTCATTCTTTCATTCACTTGACAAGCATTAGTTAATCATCTCTAACGTGCCAGGTACTATGCTGGAGACACAAAGCAAAGATGGAAATGCCTTCAAGGGGCTTCCATCTCACAACGATGTGGGGTACAGGGTCCTGTATTGCCTCTTTGGTGGGACAGAAGGGAAGGACCTAGTTCCATGATTTTCGGGAGCTCCCAGACAGGGAGGAGACAAGACCCTCACATAGGAAACAGAAACAAGCAGCTAATAGACATGGTTTGAGGTATACCTAAGTGTTATTGTAGAGCAATGAAGAGAGAGATTGCTGATGTGTTGGAGGACTCGGATGGCGGGGAGATTGGAAGAGGAAGATGGAGGTAGTCCCTCTCCAGATGTCCAAATGGGCATCCTCAGGGAATGCCAGGAGCTATTAGGAGACGTGGATCAATGGTAATCAAGAGGCCTCCAGTTTGTAAACATCTGTGGTGCCCAGTAATTCCTTCTTTAAGGTGGCATGATACATGGCAGTAATGCAGGATTTACCAGGTTCAAATCTGAATCCTGTTTACTGTTTACTGCCTGGGTGACCTTGGGCAAGTGACTTAGCCTCTCTAGGGTCCAAGTTCCTTCATCTGGAAAATGATGATCTCAAAAGTCCCTTCTAGTCTGAAATCTGAGGACTTCCTGTGTTCCCTCCTATGCCAAAGGAGATGCTGCTCTCTCCAGGGGGAGGGGAGACCCCAGCCTGGGGGGAGAACTGTGCTTTTGTCAATTGTGTGGTTGCATGGGCTTTCACTTATGCAAGCAGGAGAGGGCAGAATGGGGCCAGGGAGGGCCCCACTCATGGGGCCACCATGCCATGTAGCATCCCATCAGCCCTAAAAAGAAAGAAGTAGGTTGTCCTTAGCCTGAAGTAGGGAACTCTTAGAGCTGCCTGATGGGAGGATGCAAATGGAGGCTGCCAGAAGAGGGAGACCAAGGTACCCCCTCCCAGCCGGGAGCTCTGCTCAGTCTCAGCTCAGGTCCTGGGACTCCAAGGGACACTCGCTGCCTGATACCATGGCATAAGGTTTCCCGTGATCTGGCTCCGGCTCCTGTCATCCGGCCTGGCAGGAAATTGCTGTCGACACCGGGGAAGGGGGGCACAAAGGGGGAAGAGAGGGAGGGAGGGGAGGGACTTGGGAAATTGTGAAGTTGACAAGTTCTGAGTGGGACCTGAGATGGTCCAGGACCCTGGGGAGTTGGACCAGAGCTGGCAGAAATGTGGCCGCAGCAACCGTTCTGGGTTGTATTTGGAGTGGTGCCCAGCTGTTCCCTCCCAGCTGGGGCCCCACATACCCCTGCTTTCTCCTGCGAAAACTGGTGGGACTCAGGAAGCTGTGGAACATTGAGCACTTTGGGAGACAATGAGCCAGGGCTCCTGGTGTGGACCAGAGATGCTTTAAAAAGTCATCCAAGAAGGGAAGCTAATTCTGAGGTCCTAGACCAGTAACAGGCATCTTGGGGACTTACCTTCCGTCAGACAAGCTGGGCACACTCCCAGGTTGCCAAGTCAACGAGCACGGATGCAATCTTCTCATCTGCCAAGGTATCCCAAGAGAAGACTTCTCCACAGGCTTCTGGGTGAATGTTCTGTTGGTTCTAGTAATGGATCCTGGTGGGCTGGGGTAAAATAGGAAGGAGATATCATGGTATGGTGGAAAGAGCTCTGGTCCTATGGTCAGTAGATATGAATTCAAGGCCTACTTGTAATGCTGACAACCATATGACCTAGGGTGGGTCATTTCTCTCCAGGTCTCTGTTTCCTCATCTATGAAATGATGGTGTTGGACTAGATAACGCTCTGAAGACCCTTCCAGCTCTGAGCCCACAAATGACTGCTTTGGGAAGATTCAGTGAAAATGAAGGATTTGAAGGAGGGCATTTATCCTGATCTCCACCCACACTCACCCCTACTCCCCACAGGCATCCTGCTTGGTTTCTCATTCGGCATCCATTTCCTCCGGTCCTTTTTCTATGATTCTGTCCGTTAATAGAATCAAAGACTTAGGGTCAGAAGGGATCTTGGAGGTCATGGAGTCTCACCCTCTCTTTTTGCAGAGGAGAAAGCTGAGGCCGCTGGGCTTCTATAGCTCACCTGAGGCCACACAGCCTGGAGGTAGCTGAGCCACAGTGGCAAGTCCAGGCTCTCGAATGCAAGCCCAGCAGTCTTCCCACTGCGTCATGATATCTTTTGTCTCCCCTTTCCCATCCTGCATTCCCTGCCTCCTTCCCTTCCCTCCCCTCCCTCAGGTCGCTGATCTCCTGGCCCCCCACCAGGACCTTCTGCAGTGTATTTATTAGAACAATAAACATGGTCCAGCCTCCAGGTGCTCCTGGACATTCCTGAGACTTGGGGAGAAGCTGGGGGGCGGGCCCACAGGGAGTGGGTGGTGGGGCGGGAGAAGGGGAACAATAGGCAGGCACACGTGGGGTCCCAAGCCAGAGGTGGGTTTGGGGGGTTAGGGTGACAGGGGTTCTCATAAAGGAATTGGTATCTTCCCCAAGCTAGGGTCCCATGCCAATCTACAGGAAACTCTGTGTGTGTGTGTGTGTGTGTGTGTGTGTGTAAACAGGAGGGCACTAGACCACACCAGAGGGCTCTCCAGACTCCCAAGAGACAGAGAGGAGGCTGGACTCCAAATGATTTGAAAATACACTTCCTTTGGGTTCATAGCCCTCATCTAGATGAAAACAATTTGGTCCTGGGCTGGGAGACTGGGAACTGTGGGCTTCTGTGGCTAGGGGGCCACTGGCCCTGCCCTTTGAGGAGGCTCTGACCCTAGCCAGAGCCCCCACCTGCCTCTAGCTCCAACCCTAGAAACCAATAAGGGCAGGAAGGAAGCCTGAGGAGGCAGAAGGGGCAGGAGAAAGAAGTGTCGTGGGAAGGGGCAAGGGTAAGAAGGAGGTTATAGAGACAGGCCAGGCCTGGGATGAAGAGTGGAATAGATGGAGCCAGGAAAGGGGGTGGGGAGAGAGTTGTGGTTGGGGAGCAGGGGAGGGACAGTTAGGGGCCAATGGAAGATATCAAGGGCAGAAGAATGAGTTAGTGTGCAAATGGTCCTGGGCTACCCCAGGCCAAGCCACTGACAACCCAGAGGGAGCTGACAAATTCCAAGTTCCCAGACTGACAGCCAATAGGTTCCTACCTTCCAGCAGACAGTGACTGGGTCGGTCCTCAGATTCTTGTGCTATGGTTCCTGTCCTCCTCTATACCTCCTGACACCAAGCCCAGCCAAAGGCTCCCTCAGTAAGAGAGGAGACTCTCTTTCTAGTCCCCCTCCAAGGGTTAAGAATGAATCATCTTGGGGCATCTAGGTGACGCAGTGGATAGAGCACCAGCCCTGGAGTCAGGAGGACCTGAGTTCAAATCTGGCCTCAGACACGTAACACTTACTAGCTGTAACCCTGGGCAAGTCACTTAACCCCATTGCCTAGCCAAAAAAAAAAAAAAAAGAATGCATCATCTGCTTGAATCAACCAGCAAGCATGAATTAGGCACCTACAATCTACCTGTGCTCTGTTCAACACCTCAGGGGATGCAGCTTTGAGACAACAGAAAGAAAACTGCCTTTGGAATCATAAGACCTGGATTTGAATCTGCCACTTAATGGCTGGGTGACCTTGCCCCAGACACTTAACTCACTTCCCTGTGCTCCAACTTTACCATCTGCAAAATGGGATTTATGATACTGGATTTCTTGCCTCTCCAGTTCATATGGCATCTTAGAGAGTTGATGTAGAGATGCAATATAATATAGTGGAGAAAACTGTGAACTTGGAGTCAGAGAGATGAGCTTTGCATCCCCAGTCTGTCATTTTCTCCCTGTGTGACCTCCACAAGTCATTCAACCTCTCTATGCCTCAGTTTCCTCATCTATAAAACAAGGGGGTTGGATTAATAATGATATGGTGTCTGCTATTGTTTAAATAAATAGATTCTCATTTGATCCTCGCAACAACCCTAGGAAGTAGGTGCAATTATGGTCCCCATTTTACAGATGAGGAACCCTAGGCAGGCAGAGGTTAAGCGATGTGTTCAAGAATACCCAGCTAGTAAGTGTCTGAGACCACATTTGAACTCAGGAAGATAAGCCTTCCCCACACCAGTCCTGGCGCTCTTAGGGGCTGCACCACCTAGCTATCTTTGGTATATACCTATAATTGTGTTTGTTGTCTCTCTTGGCTAGATTGGAAGCTTCTTGAGGTCAGGGACAGTAAGAGGGCCATTTTGCCTGATGATGAAGCTGGGGTCACTGGGTAGCGACTCAGGGACCCAGTTCTAGAACAAGAGGTGCCTCCCCTAAAAGCTACTGAGAAAACAGACCTAATAATTATCATATGTATACAGTCAATCATTACTACTAACACAAAGACAAATGGGTGAAACTGCCCTCCCTCCCTGCTCCATAGTCCTGGAGAAGGCATATTGTTCTTCTGTGATTTCTCCTTTGGAGTCCACCTGGGCAAAAACGGTAGTGGTGGTCGTAAGTTGGAGGTGCAGAGGAGGCAAGGAGCTCCCAGAGATAATGGCTTCATGTCTACATTCCTATAGTGATAGCCTTAAATCGTGTAGACAAAATCGACACACGTGAAATTGAGGACAAATTGAGAAACCATATGTTCCTGCTAAAGCTGAGGCATAAATTCATCACAGACTCTTCTCCAATCACAGGGAAAAACAAACACACTGCTCACTCCTGGAAACCCCCATCCCAAGAGAGGCCAGTGAACCTGCGGAGCACACAGGAAAGCCAACCTTCTCTGCACACTACAGTCCTATTCGGTTTCATCCCCTCCCATCTTCCCACATACAGACCTGCTTCAGTAATAATGGAGTTCTGACTTGCTTCAAATACACCCCTAAACACTGTCACCAGTTCCTCTCCTTAAAAATTTTGGCTAAATGAGGCCATTGTGTGGGCAAATATATCCCTACACTCACCAGGCAACATAAGCCCTTTTCCCTTCTGGTTTCTTAATTTGTCAGTCAATAACATGTATTAAGCACCTACTGTGTACCAGGCACCCTACTAAGCACTGGAGATATAAATAAGAAAAAGAAAGATGGTTGCTGTCTTTTAAGGAGCTTACAATCTGATGGAGAAACACGAGTAAGGAAGCTGAAAGGTAGGGCACAGTCTGGAGAAGAAAATGCCCACTTGGGGGCGTGGCGGGGTCCAAGGAGTACAGCTGGGGGAAAATGAAGAGTTGGCTGGTCTGACAGCCTTTGGGTATTCTTTGCCCTGCCTACCAGCCCTCCAATCAGAGTATTGAAGAGGTGTGAGTATCAAAGCTGATGCAAGTCTTGAAGGGTGATAAGTTTCCTGGTTGAGGTTTCCTGAGAGCAAGTTCATGGTAGAATTCCTCCCAGTCCGCCAATGTTTGTGTGTTCAGCCCGGTGTTAGACACCACTGGGGATACAGAAAAAGTATTTTGTGGCTAGGTGACCTTAAGCAAATGACTTCATTTTTGTTGGCTTCACTTTCCTCGGCTATAAAATAAGGGTGTCAGACTACTACTGATCTCCAAAGTCCCATCTAGCTCTAGAACCTATGATCCTAATGTATAATAAATTAAGTTATTCACTTCACTTCAAGTTCAACCCAATCCAATTTAATCAATATTTATTGCTTGTGTAGTATACGTCTAACAATGTTCAGCATAATATGAATAGAAACTCTCCATTATCTAGCATTTCTACGAAGTTCTTTTGTTGTTTTCATTCATTTTTTTCAGCCATGTCTGACTCCTTGTGACCTCATTTTGGGGTTTTCTTGACAAAGATACTGGGTGGCTCACCATTTACTTCTCCAGCTCATTTTACAGATGAGGAAACTGAGGCAAATATGATTAAGTAACTTGCCCAGGGTGACATAGCTAGTGAGTGTCTGAGGCTGGATTTGGACTCAGGACTTCCTGACTCCAAGCCTGGTGCTCTATGCACTATGGTGCCATCTAGCTGCCCACAAAACTAACACCATGATCTAGTACCAGTTTTGTTAGCAAGGATCCTGAAGTGCCTTCTAAGTCATCAATGAAAGATCACATTATGTTCAGTGTAATTTTAGGCATAATGGCATTTTATTGTATGCTGAGTTCTTTAAAAACTGGTGGTCTACATCTTATTTATTCCTCATATAGCATGGCCTCTATTAACCAAAATACTTGATTAAGCAGACACCCCATGCTCTGAGGATATTGGAGAGTTAGCTATCACTGGGAAAACAAAACAACATACAAGACAGAAAGAACCAAAGGAAACAGGATATATTCCAGTGCGCAGATTCAGGTAATATTTGCAAAATACTCAGCACAGTGCCTGGCACATAATAAACACTTAATAAATTCTTGATCCCTTCTCCCCTTCCCGCCATGGCACAAGCTACTGCCAGGGATGGGGGAAGAGGGAAAAGATCTAGATGCAAGTCTTGCATGACGTCTTTGGAGTCTCCTGTCACCCCTTCTCCCAAGAATCAATCAATCATTTAACAATTATTGATTAAACATCTACCATGTGCCTTGTTGATGGCCAACATACCCTTTCTTCTGGGGATTTTCTGGCCAAGTCACTTTGTCAGGGACCACAGAGTAGACACTCCTACGTTCCCCTGCCAGCTCCC